CAGCAATGCCTTGGGAACCCCAAGCCTTTCATACTTGAGGAAATCCCTTGGGTGGGCAGCTCTCTTGGGCCTCTCCTTGGCTGCTCCTTCCTTGGCTCCACCACGGACAGCATCACGCTTCCCTTGGGTTGTGCGCCTTGGTGGAAGATTAGGGGATGGTGTAGGCTGCTGCACCTCCTCCTCGGTATCACCTCTCTCATCTACAGGGGCCTCCCCTTGCTGCATTACTTCTTCCACATCTGCTGCCTCCCCTTCAGCACCTCCCAAGTCATGTGACACCTCTGTCAACTCTGAAGATGAGGAGAACTCGGTGGGAATGAGAAGTGGGTCATTCGTTCCCACCTCTATTCCAAGCGAAATGGTGACCTTGCTCCTCCCCCGCTGCGACCACTCCTTGAACATGAGCCCCTCCATGAACTTGGCATCTCTGGTGGTGAAGACGGTGTTGGATTTTGGGTCCCACATGAGCCAGCCCTTGCTCCCCCGTGCAAGACCCAAATGAACAGCCCACACCGCCGCCGCTTGAAGCTTGTCACGCTTCTCCTTAGGGACATGCACGAGCCCCATGCACCCGAAGACACGAAGCATATCAACCAGGGGCTTCTTGCCACTCCACTTCTCCATAGGGACCCAATGCTGACCTCCCACATGAGTCAACACCCGGTTCTTGATGACGGTAGCATGACGAATAGCGAGGGGCCAGAACTGCAAGGGTAGACCCGAGTCCACCAATTTCGTTCTCCCGCCCTCTATGATGGTCCAGTTCGCTCTCTCTGCCACGCCGTTGGACTGAGGGGTGTAGGCCGTTGTGAGCTGCTGCTTGATGCCATGCCGCTTAAACCAGCTCCGGAATTCCGCTCCCAAAAACTCCCCACCACGGTCGCTACGAATCGCCTTCACTCGCTTGCCCCTCTCTCGCTCCACCATGGGCAGCCACTCTTCAATGATGACCCTTGCAGCATTACTCTTCCTTGCAAGTGGAAAAGACCAGGTGAGCCTTGTGTAATCATCCACCATAGTCATGGAATACAGGGCCCCACCATCTCCCTTCACCTTCATGGGCCCCACAAGATCCACATGCACGAGCTCCACCGGGTCACTTGACTGCCCCACTGTCGAATGGAAGGGAAATCGTGAGAACTTGCTGGTCAAGCAAGTCTCACAAGAGCCCACCTCCTTGGGCTCCCCCTTTATCCTCAGCCCCTTGACTCTTTCCTCCTTAAACAGCTGCTGTAACTGAGGTAGCGCCACGTGGCCAAAGCGATGGTAGCCAATCCGTCTCACCCGTGCTAGGAGTTACACTTGGTAGAGCACCCCCCCCATGCACAAGCAGCCCACCATCACTGCCATCACCACCTCCTCCATTGGTTACGTGGCTTGCATGCCCTCCTCTTACAGCTTAAGCAGCCAAGCGCGCAGCCGCCTCCTTCCATGGCAGCACCGGTATCTCCCACATGGACCGGTGCATGTCCTTGCCGCCTCGGAGGTCCCACAACACGCGCCCATCCAGAGTTGCCTTGAACACCTTTGTGCCCATCATCTCCATCTTCATCCCTGCCTCAATCAATGCCTTGGTAGAGAGAAGGTTGGCACATAGTCCAGGGACAAGAAGAACACGCTTCAGCCCCACAAGCCTCCCATCCGCACCCATAAACATGGCTCTCCCCTCGCCACGCACGGGTACAACTTGGCCGGTGGCTGAAACAACGGTGGCTGCCTTTGATGGCCTGACTTCATCCAGCAGATCCTCTCGGCTGGTCATGGTCATGAAGGCTCCCGTGTCGATGACCCAATGGGAGGAACGGTGAAGAGCAACCTTGCTGGCCGGTACAACCATGTCCTCGGAGCATGCCTCTCGTACATGGTAGAACATGCCGCCATGTCCGTCGGCACCTCCATCGCCCTCCTCACTGCCCATGCCTTCTCCCATAGCTCCATGAACACCCTTAGAGCCTTCAATTGATGGCTGACCAGGCCTCCAACCGTCAGGTAGCTTGCGGCACTTAAACCATGGGTGACCTTCCACATGGCAATACTAACACTTGCCGCCACACCGCTTGCCTCCCTTGCTGCTACGCTTCCCTCCCGAATACTGCTCCCCTCCAAAGCCTTCCTTGGCCTTGCCTTTCTTGCTGCCACGTCCCTTGAACCCTGTCATGCTGTAGGCAGAGCCTCCACCTTCACCGGCAGCGGCAGTCAGCTCCTTCCTCCGAAACTCCTCTTGAAGGACTTGAGCACGGATCCACTCGAGGGACCATGAGTCCTTCATGCCATTGAGGTTGACCACAAAGGGGCCCCACGACTCCGGCAGCAGGGAGAGAGCCTTGTAGCACTTGATCTTCTCATGGTAGTCCACACCAGCAGCTGAGAGCTTCACATAGAGGTCCCGGAGTTGATCGAATGCTCCTTGCACGGCACCACCCTCGTTGATCTTCACCGCATGGAGTTGTCGTTCGAGCACCACCACCATCGCTTCGCTGCTGGGGGCATGGACATCCTTCAATATTTTCCATGCCTTCGGACCACACTGGATATCCTTGATGAGATGCTTGAGATGGTGCAGCTGGTTGGATGAGAGGCATTGAGAGAGAAGGAAGAATCCATCCTTGGATCGGCGATCCCATTCCTTGGTCGCTCCTTCGCTCGCAGGCCTATTCAATTCTCCATCCATCACTTCAAGCAGCCCGTAATGGTTAAATAGGAGCTCCATTCTGAAGCTCCATGATGCCTAATCCTTCCCAGAGAACTTCTCTAGGTTGAATGCCTTCACATCATCCTTGGCTGGTGCTGAAACGGATGCTATTGGTGCAGATCCGCCAGCAACGCCTCTTCCTGCTTCCCCAGCGCCTCTCACGCCACCACTGCCACTAGGACCAGCTGGAGCAGAACCTTCAGCCTCCATATTGACCCAGGAACAGAGAAGAACCGCTCTGATACCACTTGTTATAGACAAGAGTCCACTTAGGGGTCGCGGATGCCCTTGAAACCGCCTAAGCAGAATCTGATGACTTCGATCCGCCTCTGTTCAAAACGCCGTCACGATCAGCTCCGATAACATACGAGGCTGAAACGTGGCGAAACGTTAGCTTCAGGTGTCTGCTTTCCAACGATATATTGCTTGCTTTCACCAGAGGTGTATGCGCTATGCAGTGAACAAAAACGTAAGCTTCGGATGAAAACTTGTAGTTTCATTGATGCAAGGAAGAGGTGAGTACAACATTGCCTAGGGGACTCATAAGGGGTTGGGACCATCCTGGGAACTCAGAGAAGGTTGAGTCCTAGGGGAGAAAGGCTAGAGAAGGATGGGAAACGTCCTAGCTAGGTCAGCAATGCCAACCACACTTGGATGTTCAGAGCTGTACTCAAGGCTACCAATAGTGAGTCAAGCCAACCATGAGTCAGCTTGTCTTCCCACTTGCACCCTCTTGCAAGCTGCTTCCAGGAAGACCACACTTCTCAAAAGGAGGGTGGTAGAGTCCCACTTGACCACCTGTACTTCTTGTCTCATTCTCTGTCCCTGCACCATTGGCATGACAACAATGAAAGGGTGGCAAGGGAAATGCTGCCAACAGTGCACCATGACTACGGAACAGTAACTTTCGACAGCTGTCACGTGCAGCCCCGATGCTGGGTTGTCTTGAAACTCGGTGACCACCTGCACATCACAACAAAGGACTGCCACACCGAGTTTCAAACCAATCAGAGATTTGTAGATGAGTCAGCAGCCGAAATGGTGAACTCGGGTGTTACCAAAAAAGAGTAACACACACTTCCGGGATGCCATAAGTCTTGAAACTAAAAATGTTGCCATGCCTTGTAATCAGCTTCAAAAGTTCTGAAACTTTGAGGGTCTGAAGAACACATGTTGAAGCACCTCCCCACAAAATTCCAGAAGCTGAGCAGGCTTGTAGGCGGAATGGGAGTGGGATGACCGTGCCACTATAGTGCTTTGGCACAACAATTAACACACATAACGAACTGAGGGACGCTTGCATCAGTATGGCGAACAATGCGGGATTCATCGTGCACGGGGAGTCAGCGGCATATACCCCCGTGGAGGAGCAAACCGCCAACCTGACCATGAGAGACAGAAGCTCCAGCACGGTGTATATCTGTGACGTGACTATCACAGACCCCATTAGCACCAGAGACCCGCACGTAACCAAGGGAAGGGGATGGGCAGCTAGGGAGCAGGCGGACAAAAAGATTTAGCACTATGCTAACCGACCTGACACTGTTGGTTTCTTCTCCCTGGTTGTCGAAACCTACGGATGCCTGTGCGCCGAGGTACCTGTGTTCTTGAAGCTGTTGGCGGATACGGCCGCCAGACGGTACTTCAATACCCAAATGCATTCATTCCAAGCGGCTAGGTTCCTGCACCTCTTCAGGCAACGCTGGTCTTGTTCTCTCCAACGGCACAATCAGTTGGGTACCTGATTAAATCAAACCAGGCGGCAGCTGCAGAAAACCCTCCGGTGGGGGGGGGTACAGTTTGAAATGCACTTGGGAGACTCTTGTGCGGTTATTGTTATATTCTTTTGTGTTTTTGTGTGTTAGCTAGATACTGATCTTATACCTTGCATGCTTGTATTTCCCTACTTTATCAATACAAGGACCGTTAGAGATAGAGAGAGAGAGAGAGAGAGAGAGAGAGAGAGAGAGAGAGAGAGAGAGAGAGAGAGAGAGAGAGCGGGAGAGAAGCACCTAGTGACTTAGCCTCTCAAGCTTCCCCTAGCCTCCCTAGCCTCCCTAGTCCTAGTATAAAGGCCTCCGCAGGCTTTGTGGCTTCTTCATTATTCAGTTTTTGGTTGGGTTTCTCTCCTAACCGAGCGGCTCGCGCCGGCCGCCTTCGGCGGCCGACGCTCGACAGCGCGGCCTTCGGCCGCGCGTGAGGGAACGGCAAGCACATCGCAGGCAAATGCAATAATAACGCACAGTCGTACAGTCATGGCAGGGGGCCCCATCTACTAGCAACAACATGGGACAAGCACGAGTGGATCCTACATCTGATCCGCATCAAGGACAGCGAGAAGACCCGTCAGAGAACGATGAAGCTCGCGCACCACCACTGTCGTTGCGCCGATCAAGTCGACGGCAGAGCCCGCGCGCAACAACCGGCGTAAACCACGGACCGCCGTCCCCAGCTGTCCAACGCCCGCAACTCCACCCCACGCGGGCGCAGCCAACACGGGCGCCAGGAGCTCGGCCAGTCGATCCGCGGCATCCAGGCACTCGTCCCGGGGGCCAGGGTCCAGATGAGCACCCTGGGAGAGAGCCGCATGACCATACACCTGAATCAGGTGCACTGTCCGCAGACCCTCAGAGAGGCGCCATAGCTGCCCCAGCGACGCCTCCGGCACTACGGCTGACGGAAGGGGCCCCACCAGTGACTGTACTGGCACCGATACGGCCGGAGGAGCAGGAGCAACAGGCAGTAGAGAGGGATATTGCGCCGTCACCGGTCCTCCAGCCGCGGTCACAAACTCCATACCCGCCACAGGAGGAACCCACGGCAGGCGCATCCGGTTCCCATGAGCAGCGGCAGAGCTAGGGGAGGGGGAATGGCTGACTGTGGAAGGGGAGGTGCAGGCTCATAGGGCGCAGACGGAGGACGGGATGCATGCGCTGGAGCGACGCGCGGCGAGTTGCTCTGGCTCGCCTGCCCGTTTCGCTCCAATCGCATTGCATCAGAGACGACACGCAGTAAATCAGCCATCGTTACTGGCTGATCATACGCCCAGCCACCACCACGACCGCGCCCCCCCCACCAGCCACCGCGACCGCCACGTGATGCAGACCAGTTTGCCTGAGACCCTCGGCGCCGGGGAGAATCGTGTCGCCGCCGCGTCATCTCTCGCTCGTCCCGGGCCGCAGGAGAGTGAGACCGATGGTGCCGGCGGCCCGGAGATGGCTGACGCTGTGCCAGGGGAGCAGCGGCGAGCGGCGCAGTATCAGGAACCGCTTGGACGTCCGGGTGCGGCACCGTTGTCGCCGCAGTCGGTAGGACGGGAGCCGATAGCGCAACGCCCCCCCCACCTCCCCCGGCCCCGGGCCGCCAGTGGTGGCGGACACCGCGTGCGGTGATGAACCAACATCAGCAACCGGGGCAGGCAGAGCGACAGAGACAAGCGGCGCATCGAGGATCGGGGCGCCCGGGGGAAGATCAACGACGGCAACGGGAACTGGTGACTCAACGGGAGCATCAAGAGCAACAAGGGCAACGGGAGCAGGCCCCGCAGGACCGCGCGCGTGAGGAGCAGCCGCAGCTGGAGGATGAGGCTCTGCGACAGGTGGAGCCGGCGCCGGCGGACTCGGGGGCCCCATCACGGAGGGAGGCGGTTTTGGTGCGGACGGCAGTGGCGGCTTCTTCGAGACAGTCACCGAGCCAGACACTACCGGCGACCTACCGGAACCCGCAGCTTTCCAGGTGGCGGGGCGACAGGCTTTAAGAAGGATAACCGAAGATATCGACCAGGAGGAGCGCAGCGACCCCTCTTATAGGGAGGAAGCAGATGTCAACAACGCGGCGGAGGATGAAGCAGATGAGGCGCAAGACCCCACCTTTCTCGCCCAACCAGCCGCTGAATCAACCACGGAAGGAAGTGGTGGGGATGGTGGGGAAGCTGCTCCAGTAGTGGAGAGTCGAGTGAATGTTGCAACACCCGCCCGAGCCGCATCCATACAAACTGGAATTGGGGGGGAACCAAACCCAGACGCACCCCACACCACCACACCACCAACACTCCAATTCTCGCCAGAACAGCTGGCGAAGGGCATGATCCGCTTCAACGAAATTCGCACCTGGGACCTGACACCACTACGCGACAGTCGTCAGCCCCCCCTCTCCCGCAAAATTCCGCACGACATCCGCACCAGTTTCGCAAACGCGCTGCTGACACCCCTGCTGCACCTCGCACGCCACCCTGACTCAGTACCAGGATGGCGCCTGTTACTCTTTCTTCCCCGCCTAATCCTTCGCCAAGCGAAACCAGGGAAGCCTGATTGGCCCGCAGTGAAGTTGCGCCTTCGTCAGTTTTTCAAGGGCGAATGGGAACAACTGTACGAGGCAGCCGTGGCAGCGGTCAACTCCCCCCCAGCGCCACGCCACCAGCCAGACGAGTTGGGAAAACGTGCCAGAGCAGAAGGACTTGTTCGAAAGGGCAGTCTTCGGCGGGCCATCCTAGCCCTCGAATCTACACCCGTGGCAGATCCAATGCCGGAGGTACTGGATTCACTTAAATCCAAGCACCCACCCACGCCACCCGGACACATTGACTGGACACCAACGGACGAGGCCCACGTGGTGACCATCAACTCAGCAGCATTCGTGAAAATCCTATGCCGCTGCGAAAACGGAGTGGGGGGAGGGCCGTTGGGGATGACGTTTGAACACCTCAGAGATGCAGCTATCGCCAACGCAACGGTTACCACCCACCTCCACGCCCTCGTCAACACAATACTCCAAGGGAAACTCCCCGAAGAGGTGTGCTCCCTGCTCACGTCCTCCCGCCTAATCGCTCTCGCCAAGCCAGAGGGAGGGACTCGGCCAATAGCCGTAGGAGAGTGTGTCCTACGCCTCGCGGCAAAATCGGCACTTTCCTCACTAGCAGAAGCGGCACGATCCCATTTCCTCCCACTCCAGTACTGCGTCGCCGTCCAGGGAGGCAGCGAGGCGATAATCCACGCCGCCAGATCATACATGAGCACGCACAGTGACGCCACGATTCTCCAGGCGGATCTCTCAAACGCATTCAATAGCATCAGTCGCGAGGCAATCGTAGCGGGCCTACGTGGAAATGCGCTAGAAGGGATCCTCCCCCTAGTTCACTCCTCTTACGGCGCGCCGGCAGAGCTATTTCTCGACGCCGGCTTTAATAGCCCTCCCATATCCAGCATTACAGGGGTCCGCCAGGGCGACCCCCTCGGGCCCTTGCTCTTCGCCGCGGGCATCCACCCGTCCCTCGCCGCGACCGCAGCCGCCTTCCCGACCGTGCTCTGCCTCGCATTCGCTGACGATGTCATGTTCCTGGGCAGAGTGGCGGAGTGTACAGCGGCGTTCACCCACTTCACGAGCAGCCTCTGTAGCATGGGGCTCAGGCACAACGCCGGGAAATGTGCGGCGTGGAGCGCCGTCCGACCACCGGAGGGGGCCTTGCCGGAAGGGGTCCCATTCTGCCACGACGGACTGCGTGTTCTGGGCAATTTCATCGGCGCGCCAGACGGAGCAGCAGCATTTATTCGGGCTCAGCTGCAAGCCATGACATCCCCTCTCCCGCAGATAGCCGACCTGGAACCACAGGCAGCATCACTGCTGCTGACGAGGTGCATCTCGAGGCGAATGTCATACCTCGCGCGCACAACCCCACTCACCCTTCTGCCCGAAGAGGAATGGTCACGGTGGGGCCAGAAGCTGCTCCACACACTGCTCGACGCCTGCGGCGTGCGCCACCCAAGGGGGGATGCGGAGGAACAACGCGTGTGGGACCAGGCCTCCCTCCCCCCAAGCTTGGGAGGCCTGGGGCTGGCGGACCCATCGGTGGAAGGGCGCTACGGCTACCTGGCAAGCTTTGTCCAGGCGCACGGACTCCTAGCCTCCCTGCCCGGCCCCGCAGGAGCTCACCTCTCCACCGCCCTGAACTGGACAGAGGAGGTGGACCCGGACCCAAACCAACTGCAAACATGGCTTGGGGAGTGCAAGGCAAGCCTCACACAGGAGGGACGGGACCTGCTGGCGGCGGAAATGGCAGCACCCAAGGGACAGCTGCAGCACCGCCTTGCCCTCTTAGTCCAGGGTGGACGAAGTGCCGCTCAAGTTGCAGCGTCACGGCATATGGAGCTGCACCCCCTATGCGGCCACACCCAGCGGCTACTGTCCCTCACTGGCTACGGTGCGGGGGACTGGCTGATAGCCATCCCCTACATGCCCTCCCTCCGCCTCGATCCTGACCTCTTCTCATTCGCCCTCCAGTTCCGCCTAGGACTGCCTCTCCCCGTCTCCGACAACTGCGACTGCACAAAGAGAGTCGCCATAGCAGACAAGCGCCTGCCCAACCACCTCCTCCGCTGTGGCACAGGGCACGGACGGACTAACACACACAACGAGCTGAGGGATGAGTGCGTGCGTATGGCTCAGGATGCGGGGTTCATTGTGCACAAGGAGAGCACGGCGTTTAGCCCAGTCGACAACAAGAAGGCCGACCTGGCCATTCGGGACAGAAGCAGTGGGGCGGTGTGGCTGGGTGACATAACCATCACCGACCCTATCAGCAACCGGGACGAGACTGCCAGGAAGGGACGGGGATGGGCAGCAAGGGAGGCAGCAGATAAGAAAATCGAGCTATACCACGGCAGAGCTGAATTTGCGGGCTTTTACCCGCTGGCAGTCGAGACCTATGGCTGCCCGTGCGACGAGGTGCAGGCTTTCCTGAAGCACCTGGCGGACAGAGCAGCACGCTTACACTTCAACGCGGACCCCTCAAGCTTCCAGGCCGCAAAGCTGCTGCACCAGTTCCGCCAGCGGTGGTCTGTCGCCTTGCAAAGGGCACAGGCAGTGAGCTTCCTTCTCAAGATGAACCTGGCAGCCCAGAAGGAGAACCCAGCCTTAGGAGGCCCCGAGGGGGTCCTGGACCCAGGGGAGTGCTTTGCTACCCTAGAACCAGGCAATGGTAGCGAGGAGAATAGTTAGACATACCTGTTTGTTCATTGCTTGCTTGCCTCTGCTGTACCTCTAATCTATATCAATACGAAGGTCCGTTCGAGAGAGAGAGATGGCTTGGGACTAGTCCTTAGCCGTTTTTAGCCTCTCTAGCCTAGTCCTTAGTCCTTAGCCGTTCTTAGCAGTGTTTCCCTAGTATAAATTCTCCAGTCCCTTGCCCATGGGGCTCATTCTTCACTGGTGAGTTCATATCCCTCTCCAAAACCGCCGGCTCGCGCCGGCCGCCTTCGGCTGCCGCCGCTCGCCTGCGCGGCCTACGGCCGTGCGTAAGGGGTGACAAGACCAAGGAAGAAACAAGAAACAATATGGAGCAGTACAACAAGCACAAGTAACCCAGCGGCAAAAACTACAACACCCCCAGGCATGACCACACCGCCATGGGGAAGCCCAGGGCCAAACCACGCCAGAAAGTGGTGGCCAAAGGAAAGCCAAAGGCTACTCGGCGAGTATCCACACAAGCCGCCCGTCCATCCACCGCAGCACTGAAGCGACTGCCGGCACAAGGTCGAGCGGTGCCCGCGCAGCAGAAGACACCAAGCGACGCAGCGCGGCAGGCCCGGGTCCAGAGGCCACACCGGGGGCCCCTAACTCCAGGCCCATGTGCGGGTGCGACCGCAGGATCTCCGTCACAGACGCCACCACAGACTCCGTCTCTTGCTGCGATAGCCTCGGACACTGCAACCCGTGGCGTGTCATGCAAGAATGCAGCTGGGCGAGAACTTCCGCAAGGTGATCCAGACATGTCGCCACGGTCATTACGCGCAGCTCAACGCGGAGCAAACGCTCTATAGGCGTGCACTCACCCCAGTGACTCCAACGCGCGTCTGGGTGTGGGTGAGGAACGGGTGCAGGCACGGCAGGAACCTCAGCCCCACGGTTTGCAGGAACTAGAGCAAGGGATGGAACAGGCAGTGGATCAGTTGACCCAGAGACGGCTGGAGGAACAACTGAGGGAGGCCAAGGGAGGTACGATGGTGGATGTGGCTGTTGCTGCAGGGGTGCACACTGAGGGAGGGGCGACGACGGAGGGAGAGGTGGCTGCTGCGCGGCCGACAGCGGCCCAGGAAGCGCGGGAGGCGTCCCAAGAACCATCGGCGTACGGGGAGCCGTCACAGCTGGACGCGCCTGCTGGAGCTGCCGCTGCTGTCGACGGCTCAGCCTCTCTTGCTGCCTCTGACGCCGACGCAACGAGATCTGGTCCCCTGGTCCAGCCTGAAGAGGGGAACGATAGGGTTGGCGGTAGGTGTGAGCGTGATCACGGGGAGAACGGTACACAGGGGAGCGTCGGCGGCACCGCTGGCCGCGCCTGCGGTCAAGCCCGCCTTCAGCCAGCGCCGCGGCGACTCGGAGCAGCGCTGGCACCTGCCCGTCCAGGGCCCCTTCGGAGATGGCATCAGCAAGAGCAGACACTACCAGAGCAAGAGCGTCGGACGCCATTCCCGAACCACGAGGCAACAACCACGGGCAACGTCACGGAAACGCAGCGACAGCAACGCTGGGATCAGCGAGCACGGCGGGAGGCAGGAGAACCAGCGCCAAATGCGGCGCCAATGGCGCAGGGAGTTGCACGTAACGCCTCGAGAATTTGGTGGGTGGCACCGGCCACACCGTGGCAGCCGCCTGGTTGTGCCGGGGGGACCGATGGTGCAACAACACGGGGTAGGGGGAGACGCTGAGCGCGAGCACGGGCCCCACCTGAGCCAACGCGGATGGGACCTTGGCGGGAGAGACACGGCCGGCAGATCCCAACCGTTGCAGGAAGAGAAGGGGAAGTGGACGATGGTAACCACTCTTCCGACGATACCACTTTTATGGCATCAGCGACACCATCCTCGGAGGAGTTTTCGGTCCACGTTGAGGATAAGGAGAGACGACGTGGCGTGCACAATCGGCGAAACAACGATCCACCAGCAGTGGACCAGGCAGCCCCAATCACAACCGACGGCAACGTGGCTACTGGGGCAGACAGCAGGTCTCAGGATGTGCGTTCACCTGACGAGCTGGCGGCAATGGAGAACCTGTGGGCAGGGACAGAGACTTGGGATATCAGCAAGCTCACACGGGGCGACCAGCCGTTCGTCGCGAGAAGGCTGCCACCTGACGTGCTTACCTATTACTCACTGTGCCTACTTACCCCCCTACTCCGAATTGCAAAAACTCCAAACTGTCCAAGTGCGTGGAGAGTGCTATGCTTCTTGCCGAGGCTAACTTTGCGCCCACAACCCCAGGAGACACTTGGGAATCGTTGGGCTGAAATCGAAGCGCGGATTCACAAATTCAGACTGGGAGAATGGGAGAACCTGTACACCGAGGCCAGCACCATCCCCCCCAACCATGAAGCAATCAGACACCAACCCAATGCTATGGGACTCTGTGCTAGAGCGGAAGGACTGGTTCGGAAGGGAAATCTCTCCAAGGCATGCGCAGCATTGAAGACTACACCTTTGGCGAAGGTGTCGGCGGAGACAATCGCAGGCCTACGGGCGAAACACCCCGAGGCAATGTTACCACTACCATACTGGGTAGCGGGGGAGTCGGCCTCGGAACTTTCCGTAACCCAGGAGAACCTTCGCGGCATCTTAGCAAAATGCCCCAGTGGAGTGGGTGCAGGGCCATCAGGAACCTGCTTCGAACACTTCCGTGACCCAGCCTTGGGCAACTAGGAGATCCTAACACTCCTTTGTGGTGCAGTAAACCACCTGCTTAGCAACTTTGTCCCCCAGTCAGTTAGAGACATACTCCTTCCCTCTCGACTGATAGCTCTCAAAAAGCCAGGCGGAGGAGTCCGTCCCATAGCCATAGGAGAAACTGTCGTGCGCATCGCGGCTAAAGCGGCACTCCGTGAGCTAGGCCCAGCAATCAATAGCTTCTTTCTCCCGGTGCAGTTTGGCGTAGCGGTTCAGGGCGGCGCTGAATGTATCATCCACTCGGTCCGAGCACTACTAGAAGAGGATAGTTCATGGGTTGCCCTACAGATCGACGTAGAGAACGCCTTTAATAGTGTGGAGAGGACGGATTTTATGAACGCGCTTCAGTGGTCCGAACTTAACCCCGTGATCCCGCTGGTCCGAAACCTCTACGACGGCCCATCCCCTCTACTTCTTGATGTGGCGTTTGGCGACGAAAGGATCGTCAGCACGAGAGGTGTCCGCCAAGGTGACCCCCTAGGCCCGCTACTGTTCGCCGCCGCCATTCAACCCACACTACTCCACGTTGCCATGGCATTTACGGAAGTTGCGGTCGTGGCTTACGTGGACAATATTACGGTGGTGGGTCCCCCGGAGGCAGCAAGAAGAGCGTTTGACCTCCTTGCGAGCGGCCTGCAGCGATGCGGACTCTGCTGCAACCACTCCAAGTCGACGGCGTGGGGCCCGGAGATAATAGACAGGGAAACAGAGCTGCCTGAGGGAATCTCGGCGGAAGAGGGTGGGATCAGGGTGCTAGGGAGCCCCATAGGGTCCCCAGACTTCTGTGCAGCGTTCTTACGGTACAGTCTGACGGTGGCGGCGGATTCGTGCGATCTCATCGGGCAACTGCACCCTCAACATGCGCTCCTGCTGCTGTCCCGCTGCATCTCCAGACGAATATCCTACCTACTACGGACGACCCCAGCACAACTTCTGCCCCTGGACGATTGGCGAAGCTGGAGTAAAAGCCTCCTGCGTACGTCATTAGATGCGGCAAAGCTACGCTCCCCAACGAATGAGCTGGAACATAGCCTGGCATGGCGTCATGCTACCCTTCCAGTCAGGCTGGGCGGCCTGGGTCTCATCGACCCCATCTCAGAAGCGCCTGCAGCTTACCTGTCATCCGTGAATGCGGCCCAACTCCTTCTCCAGCAGCTCAACACGCCCCGGGACCATGCCCTTGCCAGGGTCGCCACTCTGCTCTCTCCTTACCATACCACGACAGGTGGAGAGCAGTCGACCCTAGCCGAATTGGAGGCCTGCCTGCCAGAGGAGGCGAGACTGTTGCTGGGGGACTTCCGTACACAGATGAACACACAACAAAACCTGCAACTGCTACTCTCGAACCACATCAACAGAGCAAGGGCGGCGGAATTGGTTGCAGATACGAGACTGGACAGGCTTGGAGTTGACAACAGCCACCCACTGCGCCTGTTGAGTCTACAAGGCACAGGTGCTGGGGACTGGCTAAACGCAGTACCGACCCGGGCGGACCTCACGCTAGCACCTGGGCAATTCTCACTCGTACTAGGACTACGCCTTGGCTTGACACTACACGTTACAGACCAGTGCCCATGTAACCGAGCATGGTCCGCCACAGCCGACAAAAGCTTACCCAACCACCTGCTACAGTGCAGCGAAGGAGGGGACCGTACGAGGACGCACAACGCACTTGTTTATGCGTGCCTGCGCATGGCGAAGGAAGCAAAGTACATGACCTTGCACGAGACTACGGTGTTCTCTCCGCCGGTGGACAGGAAGAGGGCGGATCTAGCCATACGTGATCCAGAGACGTCCGAGACTTGGGTAACGGACGTGACCGTGACGGACCCGGTATTGCAGCGGCGGGATCTTGAGGCAACAAGGGCTCCTGGGTGGGCGGCCGAGGAAGCATGCATTGGCAAGCACAGGTTGTACCAGGAACGATCATCATGCGTGGGGTTCCTGGGACTGGCGGTAGAGACTTATGGCGCGCTGGCGGCAGACACTGTTAAATTCTTCAGGATGCTAGCCACCAACGCCGCCAAACGTGGCTTCCGCTACGGTCCTCAGACTACAGTAGCAGCACGACTCAACGCTCACTACCGTCAGCACTTCTCTGTGATGCTGCAGCGGTGCCAGGCTACGAGCCTGCTCACAAAGTCAAACAGGGCAGCCGAGGCATCCTCCCCACAGGCACCTATGGACCCATGGGAACCACGGCTAGGTGACCTATGGCATGTGTTGGAGGACAAGGTAGGTGGCGAAGGAGCATAGGGGAAAAAGGGGAAGGAGAGGGCAGACCAGGAGAGTGACCAGGAACGCCAGTAGGGCAGCTTGGCCACAGGGGACACTCTGGCCTTGACCAGAGAGGTGCATTGGCCATGGTTGAATTCCAGGCCTTAGCTCTGATCTGTTAGCTTACTGTCACATGCCTCTTGCTGCTTAATTTTTCCTAGTTAGCTTGCAATTGGTATACCCCATGCCATGCATGTATCTTCCCTATATATCAATGAAGGACTGCTTGAGAGAGAGAGAGAGAGAGAGAGAGAGAGAGAGAGAGAGAGAAAGAGAGAGAGAGAGAGAGAGAGGCCTAGTACTTAGCCTCTCCAAGCCCTCTCCAGCCTAGTATAAAGGCCCTCGGACCTGGTCCTAGAGCCTCATTATTCAGTTCAGTGTTCATTTGCTCTCCTAACCGAGGAGATCGGCGGCGGCCGACGCTCGACACTGCGGCCTTCGGCCGCGCACAAGGGACGACAATGCAGAACCATGACAAGGACTATATGCTAGCATGCATACACTCAAGGCACATCCAACAGGCTACTAACTAAGACGCCATGGAGCAAGACGGGAAATCTCCTACATCTGATCTGCCTGCAGGGCATGAAGGATGCCCGTCATCGTCTGCCACACCGAGCGGACCACCAGGATGGTTGCGCCAATCGCGTCGGCTCCGGAACCTGCCCGCAGATACCTCCGCAAGTCCCACACGGCCGAATCCAGCTACCCACAGCCCCAACGCTTCCCCGCACGAGCGTGGCCAACACAGGCGCCAGGAGGAGGGCAATCTGATCGGCTGCGTCAAGACAGTCGTCTCGGGGGCCATTAAGTAGGGACTCCGCAGGAACAGACGGAAGTGATCCGTGCGCCAGCGTCTGCACCAGTAGCAGCGCTCGAAGGCTCTCCGAGAGCCGCCACAATTGGCCGAGTGTCGCCTCAGGAACCTCGGCACGCGGAGGACGGAGCTCCTCCGCTAGAGAGGGGAGCCGGAGTTGAGGGAGCCCGGCCCCACCAAATTAAGCCGGAGCCAAGGGAGTCGGCAAAGATACCACCTGCGTTGGGGCAACCGCAGGGCGAGCAGCAAGAAGGGGGGCATTCGGCGCTGGAGACGCACGCCGCGAGCTGCTCTAACTCGCCGGGCCAGCCCGACCGTCGCGAAACGCCTCCGTCACTATCTGCCGTACATCTGCAATTGTCGCAGGCACGGCCTGCCACCCGCCACGCCCGCGACCGCGACCTCCCCTCCAGCCACCCTAGGGCGCAAGCCAGTTCGCCTGTGGCTGCCGCCGGCGAGGAGAATCACGCCGACGCCGAGACACATCTTGTTCATCTCGTGGGGAGGGAAAATGAGGGCGGGAGTTACGATGCTGCACAGCCGGGGGAAGGGCAGGCGCAGACGAGGGAGCCACGGTGAGCGGAGGGGCAGACTTCCCGTCCGGTGCATCAAGGGACGCAGCACGAAAAGCCAGGGTAATGCCACGGCAGCCACAGGAGGTGGCGCCTGAACAGGCGCAGGAAGAGGCGCCTCACCAGACGCAGGTTCCACCTCAACAGCACCAGCCGCCGCCGCAGCAGGCGACGCCAACACCGGAACATGAGGCGCAGGAGAGGGCGCCACGTCAAGAGCATGGGGAGGCGCCACAACGGCCGCAGGTGCCAGAACGAAGGGAGGCACAGGCGTCGGCACCATCACACGCGGGGGGGCGGACACTCCCGCCGACCCTCGTCCAGAGTCGACTAACGTGGAGCACGACGCATGAGCAGGAGAACCCACGGCGGACATCGCCGCAACAAGGGCCACAGGCACCGACAGAGCCGGTGCAACAGACACCACGCCAAAGGGCCGCAGCATATACGGGAGCGAGGAATCGCCACCAAGCGCCACAGGCATCAAGAGGCAGCAGAGGCGGGCGACAGCGAGCAGCGGGTAGAGGCCGGGGATGGGAGAAAGGCTTCCAGCGGGCGGTGAGGCAGGCTTGAAACGTCACGGAGGCTAATGAAGCATAAGAAGACCAAGACCCCACCTTTATCGGCCACCCAGCTGCTGAATCGTCTACCGAAGGAAGCAGGGGGGGAGGAAGCAGAAGCAGGTCCAGGAGGCGAGAGTCGAAGGAATTTTGCAGCACCAAGCTGAGCCGCATCCACACCAGCTGAAATTGGGGGAGAATCAAACCCAGACGCACCCCTCACCACCACACCATCAACACGCCAATTTTCGCCAGAACAGCTGGCGAAGGACAGTATCCGCTTCGACAAAATCCGCTCCTGGGACCTGACACCACTACGCGACAGTCGCCAGCCCCCCCTCTCCCGCAAAATCCCACACGACATCCGCACCAGCTTTGCAAACGCGCTGTTGACACCCCTGCTGCACCTCGAACGCCACCCTGACTCAGTACCGGGTTGGCGCCTGTTACTCTTTATTCCCGGCCTAATCCTTCGCCAAGCGAAGCCAGAGAAGCCAGATTGGCCCGTAGTGAAGTTGCGACTTCGTCAGTTTTTCAAAGGCGAATGGGAACAGCTGTACGAGCCAGCTGTGGCAGCGATCAACACCCCGCCAGCGCCACGTCACCAGCCAGATGAGTTAAAAAAGCGCGCCAGAGCAGAGGGACTCCTTCGAAAGGGCAGCCTTCGGCGGGCAATCCTAGCCCTCAAATCTACACCTGTGGCAGAACCAATGCCCGAAACCCTATATTTACTCAAAGCAAAGCACCTACCTGCACCACAAGGCCACATCAACTGGATCCCACCTGAAAAGGCCCACGTGGCAACCATCACCTCGGCGGCCTTTGCGAAAATCCTATGCCGCTGCGAAAATGGAGTAGGGGGAGGGCCGTCTGGGATGACGTTTGAACACCTCAGGGATGCAGCCATCGCCAACGCAGCCGTTACCACCCACCTCCATGCTCTCATTAGCACCATCCTCCAAGGGCCACTCCCAGAGGAAGTTTTCTCGCTACTCACAGCCTCTCGCCTCATCGCCCTCGCCAAGACAGAAGGAGGCACTCGCCCCATAGCAATAGGAGAGTGCGTCCTATGCTTAGCGGCGAAATCGGCCCTTTCCTCTCTTGCCGACGAAGCACGGGCCCACTTCCTCCCACTCCAGTACTGCGCCACCATTCAGGGAGGTAGCGAGGCGATCATTCACGCCGCTAGATCGTACATGAGCACACACGGCGACACAGTGAACCTGCAAACTGACCTCTCCAATGCCTTCAACAGTATCAGTCGCGAGGCTATAAGAGCAGGCCTCCGCGGAATGGCGCTACACGGAATCCTGCCCCTAGTCCGCACGTCCTACGGTGGGCCGTCAGAACTCTTCCTTGATGCGGGGTTTAAAATTCCACCGCTAGCCAGCTTTACTGGGGTACCTCAAGGCGACCCTCTGGGCCCGTTGCTTTTCGCGGCTGGAATCCACCCCTCCCTTTCCCCGACAGCAGCGACCTTCCCGACCGTACTCTGCCTCGCCTTCGCTGGCGACGTCACGTTCCTGGGGAAAGCGACTGAGTGTACGGCGGCGTTTAACCATTTTACGAACAGCCTGCTCAGCGTGGGGCTTGTTGGGTGCAAATTCACATTGCACGACATCCTGCCATCTGTTTGTACGAGTATGTGTGTGTGAATGCATTTGGGTGATAATGGAATGTTCGTGTGTTTGTTTTCTTTCGCAATTTTCGCTTGGTGCATTTGCAGGTACTCGCGCAATGTGCGCTTCGGCACAACATTGTACGCGCTATGAACAGTGCAAGCAGAAAGGACGAGCTCGCAAAGGAACCCAAGATGGAAGCTTTGCAGTTCGGTTTAATTGAGTGCGCATATTCAGTTTTATCCAACTCGAACTTGTACTGTTTTGTTTGGTTGACTATAGTGTAGCAGGGCACGCACTATAGGGGTACAATTTAGGTGAAGGTTGGATGTTGTTTGTCTGTATCTGCATGCTACAGGGCCAGGGGAAACCAGCGGAACCAGCATTTGGCTGGTTGGGCAAAGACAAAATAGGTTCTGTTTTTAGGACCTGAACCTGGTTGTTGTTTTCCCAAGTTGGAAAAACAGAACCAGAGGTTGTTTACCAACCTACCACCTGCTGTTATGTCCAGCCAGGTTGGTTCTGTTGCTTGGAATTATTTGGGATCATCCCTGGTTGTTCCCAGGCTGATTCCCAAGGTCCTTGCTAGCTATTTTGCGAGGCAACTTGGCTCTTTTGAAAGCTCTTAGAGTGAGCTTCAATATAGCGAGTTCTCAGCTTAATCTGATCGACAGTCTGCACGGCACGCTGCACAACGTTCAAGGTACTCTTGCTATTTTGACTAAGACCCTCTTGATCCCTCTCTCTACAAACACGGACCCGAGGATAGGGGCTGGTCTTGTGCCAGGCACCCAGGGACCCTTGGAGGTGACCCCGAGGAGAGGTTTTAAGTTGGATAACGTCTTGATAGCCTGAGGTTTTAAGTTCAGGGGCAGGGCCGGGGCAGAGCCGGGGCAGGGCCGGGGCAGGGCCTGGGCAGAGCCGGGCCAGGGCCGCAACAGGGTGGGTGGGGGCCTGACGGGGCCTGACGGGGCCTCTAACAGGGCCTTACGGGGCCGTAAACGGGGCCGACGGGGCCTTACGGGGCCTTAAGCGGGGCCGTAAACGGGGCCGACGGGGCCTTACGGGGCCGTACGGGGCCGTAAGCGAGGCCTTACGGGGCCTAACGGGGCCTTAAGGGGCCTTACGGGGCCATAAACGGGGCCGACGGGGCCTGACAAGGCCTTACGGGGCCTTAAGCGGGGCCGTAAACGAGGCCTTACGGGACCTAACGGGGCCGTACAGGGCCTTACGGGGCCGTAAACGGGGCCGACGGGGCCTGACGGGGCCGGAGGGGCCTTAAGGGGCCGTACGGGGCCGTAAGTGGGGCCGTAAACGGGGCCTTACGGGGCCGTAAACGGGGCCTGACGGGGCCTTACGGGGCCTTAAGGGTAGGCGCGACGCGCGCGGCAGGAAGGTGAGGAAAAAAAATTTTGAAGACGTGGTGGGCCCTTAGGATCGAAAGTTGCTCTATACCAAGTGAGAATATTGACGAGAGAAATTGAAGTGAGAAAGGATGATTGCACTAGAAAGCAATTGGGTACATATAGGAAATCCTAACAGGGTTGTACTCACTATTGAGTACCCCACTGCAGACTAGAGAAACATGATATTCTGACAAACCGATAGTAGTACGACCGTTCAAAGTGACGAATTACTGGATAAACCTACTTAGAAAGATGGTGTCAAAACATATTCATATGTTGTTAGTTCTGCAAGGCTACAGTGAGGTGCTCAGTATAGAGTACAACCCCAGTTAGGGTTTACTACTTGTATCTCCCTGTTGCTAGTCATTCACCATTCCTGTTTTCCTATCTCAACATGGTATTAGAGCATGATCGTTCCTAGAGCATGATTCCGCCCTCCCCTGCCCGTAAATTCTTTCTGCCCTGCCCTGCAGCCCGCGAGCCGCGCTGCCCTGCCCTTAGGCCCGCGCGCAGCCCTGCGCTGAAGCCCGCACGCTGCGCTGCCCTGCCCTTAGGCCCGCGTGCCGCCCTGCCCTTAGGCCTGTGCGCCGCCCTGCCCTACAGCCCGCGCTCGCCCCTGCAGCCCGCGCTCGCCCCTGCAGTCCGCGCTCGCCCCTGCAGCCCGCGCTCGCACCTGCAGCCCGCGCTCGCCCCTGCTGCCCGCGCTCGCCCCTGCAGCCCGCGCTCGCCCCTGCAGCCCGTGCTCGCCCCTGCAGCCCGTGCTCGCCCCTGCCGCCGCGCTCGCCCCTGCAGCCCGCGCTCGCCCCTGCAGCCCGCGCTCGCCCCTGCAGCCCGCGCTCGCCCCTGCAGCCGCGCTCGCCCTGCAGCCGCGCTCGCCCCTGCAGCCGCGCTGGCCCCTGCATCCCGCGCTCGCCCCTGCCGCCGCGCTCGCCCCTGCAGCCCGCGCTCGCCCCTGCAGCCGCGCTCGCCCCTGCAGCCCGCGCTCGCCCCTGCAGCCGTGCTCGCCCCTACAGCCCGCGCTCGCCCCTGCAGCCCGCGCTCGCCCCATCAGCCCGCCCTGCCCTTAGGCCTGCACGCTGCCCTGCCCTGCAGCCCGCGAGCTGCGCTGCCCTGCCCTTAGGCCCGCGCGCTGCCCTGCCCTTAGAGCCGCGCTGCCCTGCCCTGCAGCTCACGAGCCGCGGTGCCCTGCCCTTAGGCCTGCGCGCCGCCCTGCCCTGCAGCCCGCGCGCTGCGCTGCCCTGCCCTTAGGCCAGCGCGCCGCCCTGACCTGCTGTGCTGCTACTGCTGCTGCCCTGCTGCTGCCACCTAAGTTGCTGCTGCCGCATGCGCTACTGCTGCCACCTGCACTGCTGCTGCCACCTGAGCCGCTGCTACTGAATGCCACTGCCTGTCATGGCCACTATCACGGTCGTAGCAGCGTCTAGGGGTGGACAGCAGCAGCCACTGCCTCACCCGGACACTCTATCGCCGCAGCAGCTTTGTGAGTGGGTTATTCAGCGAGGCCGCTCTGGTCCTGGAGCTTGGGATTACTTGCGTGCGGGCAGTACTGGACTGCAGTGGCAGTCTCGTCGCCAGGAGACTCTCTCACCACAGCAGCTTCGTGAGTGGGTTATTCAGCGAGGCCGTCGTAGTGGTGGAGGATATGTTCCTGGAGGTACTCGACAGTAGCAGCAGCAGAGTCAGCCGGAAACTCCCTCGCCGCAGCAGCCTCGGGAGTGGTTTTCTCAGCGACGCGTCTCTAGTAGTGTCGGTGCTGCTGCTCTAGGTGCTAGTGAGTCTGCTGCTGCTCTAGTTGCTAGTGCGTCTGCTGCCACAGGTGCTAGTGAGTCTGCTGCCTCAGCTGACGCCTTGCACACTTTCACACTTGATTCTGGAGCGTCTCGTTGCTTCTTTCGTGATTGCACCACTGTCACACCACTTGCTGCACCTGTCCCAGTCTCACTGGCTGACCCCTCTGGGGGCCCCGTCGTCGCATGAGCCTCCACTATCCTCCCGTGTCCGGCAGTCCCCTCTGGCTCTCTTTCAGGCCTCCACCTCCCCTCGTTCTCGACGAACTTGGTGAGCACCGCAGTCCTTCAGGATGTTTGGGTTGATACCTTTACCCCTGGAGGGCAGCGTGTGGCGATCTGTACGTGCTCCCGGACTGGCCGTCACCTTGCTACGTTCACTCGGCAGCTTGAGTCCAGTGTGTACACCCTGACCACTGCGTCTGCACAGGTGGCTGCGTCAGGTCAGGTGGCTGCGTCGAGTCAGGTGTCTGCGTCTGGTCAGTTTGCTATGTCGTGCTTGTGTCAGGTACTCTCCCACCAGACTCTTCTCTGGCACCACCGACTCGGTCACCCCTCTCTACCGTGTCTCCGCAGCATGCACTCTCGTCTCCTTGTAATAATAGCAGAGAATATATTTATGGCATTTGATATACATGGTTTTATATGGACCGGAAATATGATAGAACTAATGGTAGTATATGTGCGCTCATATTGGTTGTTGGGCGACCCTTTATCGCCTAAATATATGGTCGTGAATTATATGACCGTGCGTGATTGGACGCGCATTGCCAAAAAGGGCAAGAAGCATATTCTCGACCAATCGTGCGCGGTCAATAATATGTTCGTGCATTTATGCTCTGACGTTGCAGTTTATGATCACTGATGTATTTGCCCACGCGCTCATTGGTCGCGCATTGGGCCGAAAATGACCGCGCATCTACTGTTGTGTAAACGAGGAATTTCGGGGGTACGAACCCTTGTAGGGCTATGTGCCAGGGAAAAAAAACACCTCGAAAATGCCCTGGCATGGCCACTCGAGCAATGATCACTGAATTGGATGGCCACGCGAGCAATTCGGGGACAAGTGGGCAAGAGTGAATCACCAAACAAGGCACTGGAGCAATTCTCTCGTTTTCGCAGCATGGTTGGGGTGCAGGGTGTCTGGCGGCGGTTGGGAAGCCACAAGCCTGGAGCCGAGCCTGATTAAGCTTTGTCTAAACCTGGTTTTGTTGTGTTTCAACAGCCCAAACCAATGTGGGTGTTTTTTGGCGACCAAACCCTGGTTACAAAGTTTCGAAGGTAATACACTTGGTTGGGTTGGCCGAAATATGAGACCCGGGTTTTAACGAGGCAGCAGTC